TATAATTAACTTTTTTATCCTCTGACAGTAATCCAGTAGAGTTGTTGTTGTTGAGTCAACTGAGAGAATAGACCATGTAGATGTTGACTGCGACACTGTCATAATTCAATTTGAGCTAATTCACTTCTTCGTGAAGATGAAAAATGGACCATAAATGAACCATACGTCTTGAATGATATGAGAACTGAATCGATTGTTAATTTGATTTTTTTGCGTTTTTTCATAGTTACGTTGCTATCTTATTTGTGCAAAACCGTAGATTTATTAATCATGATTTTGGGAGATGATTTATGATTAGACAATTGCAATGACGGCTATTTTCGAATTGAAATCAGTTCTTTCATTTCCTGGATTATATGGGCATCGTTAGTCTTGATTTTCTTCTTTTAATATTTAATTATTGATTCTGATTTCGATTCGAAATGACCTGGAAATATATTATGTCCATAATGGTATATATCAATCTGACAAACTTCACAATAATTAGTCTATGCAACTAGATAAAATAAAAGAGGAAAGAAATCAGGCTTTTCTCACTTTGTTGAAAAAAAAGCACATATTCTCCCGGCGGAGTGAAAAAATGCACTAGAATGATGAAACAGACGAAAAATTCGGTTTTTCAAATTCGTTGATTAAAATGGACACTTTTATCAGTTTAATTGCATTAGTTTGATTAATAATCGAATTTATAGTATTTGTCTCATTAAAATGTCGCTTTTATCAATGAATTTCAAGAACATCAATTTTTATGACTGTTTCATCATCCAAAACGACATTTTTTTCTCGTGTTTCTGATATAGAATTCATGAGAGTCATGACATTTTTTCAATATTTTTACTCTATGACTCGTACTCATAAATCTTAATCAAGAAATGATGAAAATAAGTTTTACTTTTTTTGAAAATTTGTAGCATACTTAAGTCTCTAAACAATACTTAGAAATCGCCTCGATTCGATGTTTATTGCTCCTACTAGATAGTTTTTGTGAATGAGTTAAAAATGACCTAACAGAAGGTAAAGAATTAATATTAGTTTTCTTTTATCAAGGCTAAAACTTTCATTGGTATTATCCATGAACAGATTAAGCTGTCATAATATGTTAATCATCATGAAAACTATAAATCAATAATTGCTTCATAACAAACATTATCTTTAAATATATTGTTAGCATAATCCTAATATTCGTGATTGATTTTATAATTTCATATATATATGTACATCTTCTTGATTGTTCCTTTGTATAAATGCTAAGTGCCACTAGTTCTTCTGCAGAAATTTCTACAGACACTTTCTCTTAAGTTAATTAACATTCATTTCTTCTCATAATTGTGCGCTTTCTCTAGTAATTATTCCTAATCGAATATGAAATGAGGAGTAACTAGTTCAATGGTTTATTTAGGTATACAAAAAACGTCGGTTATTGAGTAAAAATATTTACAGATAAAAAACTTCCTTAAGCAGTAATTAATATGTTATATACGGAATGGATATATATATATATATACAGAAGAAGAAAAAATGTGTATGTACAAGTCTAATAAAAAGAAACACGAAGTGACACTGTCATTCATACATAATTATAAGATGTACTCAGGCACTGTTCTTATCAGCTAATATGATCAATTATAATAATAAAACATAGTTCCAAATATATTTTGCCTTGAGAAAGTAATGATTAAACGAGAGAATGATAACAACATGTCATCCTCAGACACATATATTAATAATTTCTCAGTTTCATTATCAACAACATCAATATCATATGGAAGAAAGAATGAGCTAAATCTTTTAAATAACGATAATTGTAGCAAAAAAAACAACAAAATTCGTTGATATCTTTATGTTAGTGACATCAAAAAAATGATTCATTTACATTTATTGAAATGCTAAATTATGGTGAAATATTTTTTTTCATAAAGAAAATGATTGTCTAACATTAAATCATGAGAAAATTAGGCGATGAAACTCAATTATATAGTTTTTTTATGGCGAAAACGTACACAATGTCTTTTACTTGACTTTTTTCTTTCACATTGAGACAAATATAAAGTTCATTCGATACTGCAAGAACTGAGACAAAGAAAAAAAGAGATGTTGCGAACAAAAAAACTTCAAGAATGTTGACAGACGGTATAGTTAATATATATGGACGACTAGATAAAGTTGCAAACAACAAATGAATGAATAAATTTTAATCAAGTCATAATAAAATTTCAATAAGTTTCAATACACATAGCAATACCCATGCCACCACCTATGCAGAGAGCGGCACATCCTCGTTTCAAACCTGTTCGCTTAAGTGTATGAATAAGAGTAACAAGTATTCGAGCGCCAGAATCACCAAGAGGATGACCAAGAGCAATGGCTCCACCATTTACATTGATCTATAAGATATCAAAATAAAAATAGAGAAGAAAGAAAAAACAAAAAAAAAAGAACCTTTTCTGGATTAATACGAAGATCTCGAATAACTGCTACTGATTGAGCAGCAAATGCCTCGTTTAATTCAAATAAATCTACTGTATCAACAGTCCAATTAGCTTTGCGTAAAGCTTCTTGAATCGCTTTGATTGGTGCCAAACCCTAGATGATAAAAGAATTCCGATATTGTATTTTCATGAAATTAAAACATATACCATAACAAGTGGATCAATGCCTGTTTGTGCCCATGAAACAATTTTTGCTAGAGGCACTTGTTGTTTTATTTTAGCAGTACGATTCGAACAAAGAATTAATGCAGCTGCTCCATCATTAAGGCCTATTAAATATTTAAAAAATAATTTAAATCATTGAATAAAAAGGAAACATAGAAAAACTAGACCTGATGCATTGCCTGCAGTAACTGTTCCACCTAAGAATAGAAAAACATAGTAAATATTGAATTAGCTCTGAAATAAGATACATACCATCCTTGAATACTGTCTTTAATCTCGACATAGAATCCATTGTTGCTCCTTGACGTGGATATTCATCACTTTTTATTTGAATATCACCTTTAAAATAAACAAGAAATTGAAGCAATGACAGAGATATATTGAAAGGTATGTTTTATAGAAATAACAATCAACATACTTTTAGATGTCGAAATAATGATCGGTTCAATTTCAGCATCAAAATGTCCAAGGGATTGGGCATGTGAACATTTTAATTGAGATTGTAATGCAAATTCATCTTGTTCTTGTCGTGTAATACCACATGCTTCAGCAACATTTTCCGCTATATTATTAACAATAAAGTACTATACAATTATTTATGATTCATTGAACTTACCTGTGATACCCATATGAATATGATTAAATGCATCTGTCAGACTAAAAACAAAATCAATAGTAAGTATCTCAATAAATAGTTTTGTGTTTACCCATCATGTAACATTGAATCTACAAGGACAGTATCACCCATCTTTTTTCCATTTCTCATTGAAATACAATGCGGTGCTTGACTCATGCTTTCTTGACCACCTGCAACTACTATTGTTGCATCACCTGTTCGAATAGCTTGAGCACCTAGAATTACTGCTTTCAAGCCTGAACCGCAAACCATATTAATTGTCGTTGCTGGTATATGATAAGGTAAACCACCACCACGTGCAGCTTGTCGCGCTGGATTTTGACCTTCGTTAGCGGTCAATACTTGACCCATAAATACTTCACTCACTTCATCTGGTGTAATAGTACCGCTTACTTTAATCAATGCACCTTTTATTGCTGCAGCACCAAGCTGATGAGCTTTCAGTGCTGATAAACATCCATTAAACGAACCGATGGGTGTACGTACGGCAGACAAAATAACGACATCATCAAGATCTGCATTAGCATGTGAAGTCATCATTCAAAAAAAAAAAAATACTATCTAAACAAAATAAAGATTGATAATGAAGAAGTTATTCGTATGATTTTTAAAAAGAAGTCTAGTTGTGCGAAATTGCGTAGAACATATACATACCAGTTATGGCTGTGATTTTAGAATCTATTTTCTCGTAGAGTACATTAACTATTTCATTACTTTAGCATACGTTTATATAGAAATACAATCAACGCTATAAGAAAGAAACGAACAGTGACGTACAAACATGCAATTATTATAAAAGAATAAAACTAAAGAAGAAGCTCTGATGATGAATATCAAAGGAGGAAGAATAAATAGTAATTTTCTATTACAATGATGTTAAATTATTAGTATTATAAAATTTTAATAATCCAATACTAATTAGTTGTTTTCAGTATTTTTCTTATATGAGTAATTAGATACAATCATTTGTTCAGATAAAAATCATCATGCCACTTTTCAGATACAATAAAAACATACAAATTATATAAGTAAAAATTAAAAAGAATAAATCATTGCTTCTAAGACAACATACATGTACATTATTATGCTTCACAACGCATTGTTTGTTGTTCGAATTCAACACCGAAACATGTGTTTTTATTTAATAAAATTATTGAGTTTTTTCATTACTTGATGATTATTATGCTATAAAATATATTAAATCTGCCTCAAGCATGATACTTCTATTCAAATCAACAAATGAGCCGTTTTTTTTATTACACAATACAAGACCACCTGTGACATACCAATGAAAACAATAAAAATGTTTTGATTCTTGCATATAGTTATTCATAGTATTATCGTTCGCATAAACTGTAATCAAAGGTATAACTTATTCTCTCATAATTTTTCATACCTGTCTGAATCTTTAAAACTTCACAATGATTTCCATACGAAGCAATTTTTCATATGAATATATAATAATTTACATGAATAGTTAATTATCTGAAAAGAAGATCGAAAAACATAATATTATAAATGATAATATACCAATAACCGGATTTAATGTCTATTGAAATTAGTGAAAAACTGTTCGTGAACAAAAAAAAATGAATAACAATAATAATAATGATATTCATCGTTAGTTAAAACAATATCAATGGAATGACTATGAGAAAAAAAGATAAAGAATAAACACAAGAAAGAAAAAATTATTCGATGTAGTTTCATTATTTTCGTACAAATAATGTATCATCTTCAATTTCTTCTTCATCATCATCATGAGCACCGAAAAGAGGTTCTTCCATTGCAGTTGGATCAGTAATTAATGTATATCGTTTCGGTTGACGTTTTTTACGTAAACTAAAATAATAATAATAATAAACAAATGCACAGATTTAAAACACATGTTTTTTATGTAAAAACAAAAGAAAACAGAATCATTATTAGTTTTTCCTTTTTGTTCACTTACAAAAATGTTTTTATTCCAATGTATATTAAAATAAGACACGTAATACCAGCAAGTACAATAGTAGCACGAAAAAATGTACCTCGATCCATTTTTAAAAAAGCATCATGTAGTATTTCTTTGCCATGATCAAGTGAATTTTTTATAGCTACAACTGTTCTTGTATTATTTCCATTTATTGTTGTGTTAGCAGTAGAAAGTGAATTTATTGTTGTATCATTTGGTAATGTTCTGATAGCTTGAGGTAAAGTTAGATGAAAAACTAAACTAACCATAAACGACAAATATAAATCATCAGTAGACATTATTTTTGCACACAATGTGTTAATGAATCTAAAAAGAGCATGGAAAATAAATCAGAAACAGGTGTATTTCTTTTGTTTTACGACATAAAAAAAGAAGAAAAGATAAAAGAAACAAGACAACCAGTCATATAAATTATGATTCACAAAAGTTCAGAAAATGCAATTACGTTATTACACATTTTCGTTAATACAGATAGTAGCGCTATGCTGAAACAACGACATATGTGACATTATATGACTAATACTGATTTCAAACGACAGAGGACACTACTATTCATAACTAAAACACTGTAGCCTGATCACTTTTCGTGTCACTTATTATTAAAATTTTCTCTTTAATATCATGTGTACTCTTCTCCCAAGGGTCAATACTACAATACTCTGTCAGATCTCTAAAATAAATAAAAGTGATCGAATAGTTAATATATTATTTTAGCATTCATGACTTGTTTTTCTACGATGTTATTTACAATTCTTTATGAGGATTAGGCAAATTTATAATGCGATGTATTATTCTTTTTAACATTCTTTTATTTTCTCATCAATGTCACCAATTATACAATCATAATAGTGAAGTTTTCAGCATTTCTAATAAATTTAATTACAAATCATGTATGTTTAGTCTTGATTATTATAGAAGTATCATTACGTTATATTGATATATTCATTAAAAGATAGTAAAAAGTATTTTAACTGTTCTTTATATGTTCATCAATACTAAATAGATATAAGTCTTCGATAGCCCGAGAAAATTTCATAACTGTTGCTAACACTCTTTAAGAATACATAGTATTATTACGTTCAATAGTTCAGAAATATTAAAAGACTTTTTTCTTCTACATCTTTTGCATTTAATAGATTAAGTATCACGCATGTTGTAAACATATATAAATAATAGATGCGTTGACTTAGCATTAGAATTAAAAATCTGTCAACACTTCTGTATTTACAAAAGAAAAAATTAATTTAATACTTTACATAATTGCCCAATGAGTATGATCTCATCAGGACCTGTCCTACTTGTGAAACGTTGAGGATATGTCAAAAAAAAAACTCGTGTGCAAGATAGTATGTTTAAAATAACGTTCAATTGCCAAGTGTTTGCTCTGTGTATAGAATACATTTCAATTAATATTATCATATGATGAAAACATACATGGAATAAGAGATAAGAGACGCACACTGACATGTACGATGAAAAAAAGCGAATGAGTAGAAAAGAAGAGCGTAGAGAACCTTTGAATTGATCAAGGTTTGGAAATACATGCACATTTTTTTCAACTGGATGACTGTTAGTTTTTTTTCCTATTTATGGTGCAAGAAATAATTTTCAATTCAGGCGCATCAGATGCGATTAAAAAAATCTTGCTTTTATCTCCTTTTCTTTGCAAAGAAGAAAAATATTTTTAGATGAATTTCAAAAAATATTCTTAATGCTTTCAATATTGAAGGTGTTCATACTTACGACTATTGATCCAAGTTACATTTTTCAAAAATCACAATGAATCAAAATTTTCTTGAATTAAGATTTAAGTCTTTGAAAACTGCTTATGAAAACTGGCAGTGCTTTTCGGTGCGAAACTATTTTTTGCAAGCTGATTACAATTTTTGCTATTTCTTATTGTTTCTTGTCAAAAAATTAAACTGTCGTTAAATACCAGTTACGACACGTATTAAAAATATATTTGTCGTCCAAAAAATAGCCAAGTTCGCGACGATTATCTAGAAAAAATGAAGCTCATCATACTTAAAAGATTCGTAACAACATGTCACTTAAATTCAGGATCAAAGAGTTCTTAGATCAACTATGATTATATAATCGTTAGTTTTTACGTAGAGAAAAAAAATTCTAGTTTTACTTTACAAGGTGTTAGAGAAAAACATCACTTATTTCTGTATTTTTGAAAACAAAAGCGTGTGAATTCTCCGTGCTTATTCGTTTTCTGGTCTTCTGACTAATAACAATGATAAGAATTTTCAGTGATTGGAAGATGTCACATCTTCAATGTTCCATGATCGGGCTATCCTTGAATTTAATACAATTTTTTTCATGAGCATTAGTCTTAAGTAATAATAGTCTAATACTTGTGCAAAAGTATTAAATTAAATTTTTCATTTTAATACAGGCATGTCTTATTTATTATTAAGTTATGTCAATGCTCATGATAAATCGATACTTCTAGTGAATAATTCAAAAATACTTATCTTTCTTGGATAGAAAACAAGACAAAGAGTCTTGCGTTCGTTGTAAGTGTATCATAATGCTGATCGAAGTCTATTGAGGTCATTACGCATTTGTCTTTCTTTTTCCGGTAAAACTATACGATTGACGATGCTCATCGATTAATAATACATTAAGAAAATAAAACTATTTTCTGTCTCTACGAGAAAGATTTGCAAATGAAAATGAAAACTACAAACTAATCTTATTGATTTGATACGATAATCATATAATATTGATGAGCTCGTTCGAAAAAAAAAAAGAACAAAAGACTTGTTGAATGATCCCAAATCAGATTGACCTCACACGATAATTGCCGATGAAGCTAAAGTGGTATTAAATAAAATAGATAGAGAATGAACATGGACGAAGTTTATGAAGAATTGAGGTCACCCACGTCTGGGACCATTCCTAATTGGTAAAAATTCGTCTTATAAGAAACTTTCTAAATTTATCTTGTCACTTTTGGTCTTAAATAATTTCCTAAGAGATATCAATAAGATGTTTTACTAATTCAATAATCATCTGACATTTATTTTGTTGAAAGAAACATGAGCAATAGCATACAAGAACATAAAAGAAAAAAAAGATCATTATGTAATAGTATGTTTCACTTTCACATATTCTCAATACTAGATAGCAGGTTTCATATCAGTAGGATTACCATCTGCATATCCTTGAAGATGATATTCAATTATTGAAAGATCTGAGTGTGGCACTGGGTAACATGATAGGTATTTTATATACACACACATACTCGCGAACACTGATTATATATTGATTGAATAATTAAACCAATAATTCAATATTAACTGAAATTAGTGGAAAACAAATTTGTAGAAAGGAATTCAGAATCAGTGCATATGGGACGAATTTAATTAGGACGTATATATGGTCTCAGTCAGATAGCTTCCATCCTTTGAGGTATAAAATAGAAAATAATGGAAACTAATTCCTGTTTCATGCGATGAATATTAACAACGACACATGACTAGTGCTTCCAATCACTATCAAAACTATTCTTTATAATAAATCGTATGAATCAGCATTTGTCACAAAACTAATTTAAGAAAGAGTTGTTTGCAATGTAATTTTTAGTCTTTCATTTTTTTTATAAATGTCTCTTGAGGTTTGATTTTTCGAAATATGATCAAAATAACATAAAGTGCCTCGAAAAATGTAACATATCAGAAGTTTTCTTCCTACAAAAAATGTTTGAACAATTGTATCCATTCTAATTTTTCGATTGAATTCTATATTTTAAACAAAATTCAGCGACGAACTACATGAAAAATAGTATCTGTCAAATACTTCTGAAAATCTTGAAAAATATTGTTTGATCGACATGAACGATTCAAAGCTCAAATAAAGATTAATCAAGAACTTGAAACAAAACTCAATAATATTGGTTACTTTTGAGGGCGTGGCAAATCTCAAACTGTTACCAGTTTCGGTTGAATGACTTAGTATGTGATATAATTGTAAAAATAAAATATTCAGTTTCTAATAAGCCGAAAACTATCATCGTACATCATATATCAGATATTTACTTTTGTATGAAAGTTTTCAGTTTCTACACATAGCAAAATAAATCAACTCATTCATCTATGTATATATATGAAAATTGAGCAAAGTGCTATAAACGATGGTTATATGGCTGATAGTATTTGAATTTTACCTGATATATTGTATGGAACTTGTTTTGATACGTANACTCCCCCTCAGGGATGATCTGGTCAAAAATTACAATTTTTTTTATAACTCAGTCATTTCTCGACGGATCCTTCTCATCTTCGAACTCGACCGAGATATTGTAAAGACTGAACTGTGCAAAAAATGTCATTGCGATCTGACTCTCCTTTCGAAAGTTATCGTGTAAACGGCCGGACGGCCGGCCGGACATACTGACCGATTCTAGAGTGTACTCACTTTTTGAGTACACAAAAAACAATATGATTAAACTCAATAATTCTCCTATGAATAAAAGATGATATGTCGAACATAATAGAATATTCTTTCGAGAAACTATCAGAATTTTTTTTGTTAGATTTATGGGATTTATCTATTAATAGCATATAATACATTTTAACTGTATGAAAAATGTACTTTAACTCGAAAGAGTCAGTCTTCACCCTAAATGTTGTACTTGCTCTCACTGTCAGCTAGATACCTGCCTGCAGTCTAACTTATTTCGTTAGATATTAAGATATATAATAGGATTTATAGAAATATCCCGAAAACTGCTGATTTTTACGGCTGTCTGACAACTGTAATTTTCACTGAAATTGTTACAAAGTGAAATATTTTTAAAAAAACTCTGAAACTTTTGGTTATTTAGGTCTTCTATATAAGGGAAGAAATTTCGAGCAAGTATGAATATGTTTTTTCTCCTATTAGGCATGTTTTTTCTGCGTACCAAAATACTCGATATAGTGGAGTCTATTTAGGTGTTATTTATCTTTACTAAATTCGATCAATAAGCAATAAAATCTGTTTGATCTGATTAAATAAGAATTTTTTTCATAAAAGCATCTATTCACTACGTTTTCTTTCTAAAACTAAATTTCAATTTTCTGGTTGACGAAGTCTGAACCTGATTTTCTACATAAAGATCGATTTACTTTCTACTAAAGTGATTTTCATTTAAATTATCATTAGAAAAAGATTTTATTTTGATAAGTTCAATCTATAGAAATCTCCATTTAAATAGGCTATGTGAATTATGATTTACCGAATAAGCCAATGTGAATCAGGTGTAAATGATTTTCTTGAATTTCGTTCATGAAGTAAAATAAGAAGTTGATGAAGTGTTTTATATAGTTGATTATTTTCTAATTTTAATTTTACTGATGTCGTTATTGTTCGTTCAAATTCAATACGTATTAAACGATAAACAAATTGATTAAGAAATAAACTAAATTGAGACCAACTTTCAAGAGTTAAATATTTTTGTTCTTTATACATTTCTTCTTCATCTAAAACTCTTTATTAAAACAAAGAAATAGAACTTCAATAAACATAAAAATGCATTTGAAAATATACAAATCTTACGTAGCAAGATATGAACAGAGATTACAAAATAATTGAAGTAAATCAAATATTGGATGATAGTTTTCTTTATTCATTTCATAAATTTTTAATAATTCCTTTAAACCACATGTTGAACCAATATTATTTAAAAATTGCCATAAACTACTTATTAAACTATCTTGTAACGAAAGAGCTGAAATAAACTTTTAAAATATTAGAAAAAGATAATAGTCGATAAAAGAAACCTTTACCACAAAGAATTTGTAGTCTCAATTCTGTTAATATTTGAATTAATTTTTGATAAAATGTCGTTATACGACAAATGGATTGTGTTAATTCATCACTTGTTAATTTATCTGTTGTAGTTTTTGAATGAAATAATTTTTCAAATTTAGCTCGAATTATATCTTTAAAAAAAACATATTGAACTTAATATAATCTTATGAACAGAGTTCGTCAACAGATAAATCGTTTTTGAGACGGAATTATGTTCGTCATGTAGACACAAATGAGTTTTGAATATTCCATCAAGAGTTCAGCTTCTTAGCTTATTGTTATATAGACTCTGCAAATTTAAAATAGTTTTGAAATTAATGTCGTTGTCCCACTCAGGAACATCGAGAAAGATTGATTTTCGAATTTCGACTTGAAACTTTGCACAGGAGGCAAGGAAGAATAGCTCTTCATTTAGGTACCTTGCGTTATGGAGTGCTGCCTAACGATACATTCAAATGTTCGATATTTTCCCTACAACTATAGCTAGCTGGAACTTTGGAAAGAAGGCCGGCCTAATCCTAAGTTCTTCCGTTCAATTGCTTGAGCTTTTCATACACACTAACTAATCACATACTAGTCACAATAATATGTGCATGTCATAAAGTAGTCAGGATGCTGTGGGACGGATAATCTGAGACCAACGGTCGTTAGTGACTTGCTCAAGGCTATTTCATAGCTGATGCTGCTACGCTTTGAACACAGTACCTTGTGGATACACGTCGAACTACTCAGTCACTCGTTCATGTCCGCTTAACTTTGTATAGGTACAGGCCTTAACGGAAGTAATTTACTGTAAAAGTTTCCGATCTTTTGTTTTGTTTCTATCCTGGAAATAACGACGTTGAATCTGCTCTTGTATGAGCGATGTAAATGACACAATTTTATCATAGTTGTATCGTAAGAGAGAAATAACGACAAGATCTGAAACATTCAAAAGAAATTATTCCCCTTAAGGGCTGTTTCTATTCAAAGTTTCAAGTCGAAATTCGAAAAATTAATTTTTCTGATGTTCCTGAGGGAGATCACGATATTCATTTAAAAACGACGATAAAAGTACAGTCTATCGGCAGCAATAAGAAGTTCAGGGCCTAAAGTCTTTTCACGGTATTCATAGTTTATCTTGTTCTACATAACGCATGCAGTCTTAAGTCAAAAGCGATTTATCAGTTGAGTGACATCCGTCATTAGTCAAAGAAATCCAAACAATTTACTTGTTTCCTTTTTTGCTGTTGATGATGATTGATTTCCTAATGATGTTGTTGGTATTGATTCAAATAACATATTAACAAATAATTTTGACCAAAGAAATTTATATTGAATAATAACACGTTGAACGATTTCTTGATTGGATCTGAAATGAGCATAGAAACATATTTTGAAAAGAAAAAGAAAATAAATATTAAAATAATCTAACACAGTAAAGCCACTTGTTTTTCCTCGAACATGACCAATTATTGGATGCCAAACACTAGTCACTTTTGTTTGTTTCCCACTTTGTTCATCAGTTGTTTGTCGTTGTCGACAAACATCTAATATATTAAAAAGACAATGAATAAATGGTTGTTTCATTGCTTCTAATTGACTTAGATCAATACTAGCAAGTGCAACAATATTTCCTATTTATATATAAAAAGTATGATTTTAAAGGGAAAAAAATCAACTTATGTATTTACCAAGCATATAACAAAGTTCGATAATATCAATATTTTCACTTAAACTAGCAAATGATTCTTTAATACTATACATACAAATAAGATGATTAAATAAATCTTTTTGACAAACCATTTGAAATAACTTTATATATAAAAATATTTATTTAATAAAAAAAGAAAATCTTTCATTGTTTGTTTTTTTTTTGCTTTACTTTATGTGAACTTTCATGACACATTGTTATAAAAGTTGGTATGACAAGAATTGTTTGAGAAAATAAAATAAGATGAGTACGATTGAAATCACTGTTTAATAAAAGTCTAGAAACAAATAGAAGAAACATAATGTAAATATGTTAATTAAGAAAAACAAAATCAATAATACTTACTTAAAAGCTAACGTAGCTATATTATGTATAACCGATGATTCGAGACGTCGATGCATACAACGAATCATTGAAGTCTTTATAAAATAAATTTATTTGATAGATTTTGCAAACATTTTGAAGGAAATTTACTTTAAGAATTTTAAGAAGATTATGTTGACCAAGATGAATCAAATAACTACGGTTGAGTGCAAGCATTGTTTTTAAAAGAAGTTCGTCTAAAAATATTTATATTTTTCATCAGTAAAACCGAGAGAACTCTCCTGAAGGTTTCAAGAATTACGCTTAAACTTCTCTCCGCTATAGAAGATCAGTCCTATATTAGAAAATCTCTTTGAAGGAACGATGTGCAGGAAATAATAAAGAAACTTTCCTGTAATTAATTAATTTTGCAAAAATTTGTCACTTTAATTAGTATATTCATATAAAAATATGCCTAGTTTTCAGAGTCTTCAGCTAAAAATCTTAAAAGACTAAGATCAGCATTATTTTTGGACGTTTAGGGTTGTAAAATATCTTCATAAATCTTCAACATGGTTTTGATTTCCTGAAAAATCCTTTGAATTAAAGAAAATGGAAATAAATGAGACACATTAGGAGACTTAGATGCTTTTATTGAAGAGAAAAATTTATTTCAAAATCGTTGATACACAATCAAAATATAGAATCTTCATTTGAAATTCTTCTATCATGAAGTATCAAGGATCTACAGAGAATAGTCATTATTATAACTCTAAACAGATGCTTTCTTCTTACGATATTAAATATTCAATAAAGAAACAATCATCTTGCACAGTAACGTATAAAAATTCATATCCTTCAATATTAGATAATGAAGAAACAAAGTATAATCATAACTACAAAAGCAAGTTCTATGAATACAAATTCTTTTATCATTTTACTAATAATCTACCTCTCTTGATTATACGGATTTGTAATTCACGAGACAGTAAAGGTAGAGATATACAAGATAAGCACTTTTTTCATAGGTTGTATCCTGTTTCAGGAAAATTTTCTTATCTCAACCCTTACCCTACCTTCCATGACCTATACTTTTTCATCCTAAATCTACTCTATGCTGCCAAGTAGAGTTCCTATGCACAGTTCTAAGGAGAGTTTATAGTTTCATAATTAACAATAATCTATGTTAAACATACTCATATTTTTTTGTAACGCTTTCCAACTTTGACAATCAGTTATAAGATAAAGATAATTTAAAGAATTAATAATTAATTTAATATCATCATTTGTTGTCGGCTCTGTTGTTTCAAGAACTTTAAGCATTACTATCATGAAATCTTGATTAAGTTTCATCCATTGTGCATTAACTTCTTTATTAAAAAACGCAGCCAAATGACTATACTAAATAAATAAATAGACACGAAAAGATGTATAAATTTTTTTCAATTTAAATACATACTTTAATATCATCTACGATTAGACTTGTTGAAATATAATTCAATACACCTAATAATAACTAAAGAAAGAAACAATAAACAAATTACATATAATATATCAATAATACTTGTTGTAAATCCGTTGAATTATCTTTAATTTTCATTCGATTATAATAGAGAAGAAAATGTTGTAAATGAGGGAACATAGTTGATGCTATTAAAGAAATATGTTTTCCTTTTATACAGATAAATATATATGACAAAAAAAGCTAATACCAAGTTGCAAAGATGGATATTTTTGTGGATTTGGATCAGTAAAACCAAGAAATATTTGTTTAAGTTCATTTCTTAATTTAAAAACAAAAAATTAGAAAAGAAGAACAAACTGTAAATAAAATAATTACTTTCGATAATCTCGATATTTTTTTCTGACAAGATAACCTCGTACTGTTTTTTGAATGATAATAGCTGCTTGTTGCACTTGTTTTTCACGACGTCGAGCTTCACGAGCTTCATCCAAATTATGTAAAAAATCATTTTTATTTATATCTGTTTGTGATTTTTTAGGAAACATTTTCCTTTTTTCTTCTTAAAAAACTCGACTATCATATGTCAAAGTATCCGATTGAATAGTTAAGAAATCCAATGATTTTTGTTCTTTATCTGACATCTGTAGACAAAAAAATAACTGCAAGAAGTTTTTTTTTACACAACAAAATTTTTTTGTTTTTTTTAATAAGATAAATTCAGTAAATTTTTAAATCTTATTGTTAAATTTGGAAATAAATAGAACTATTGAAATATTCTTGGCGGTCGAAAATAGGAATGAGAAAAAACGTACTTAAAGATCTGGAAAAAGAATTGATCGTTATTAATACTTATTATACATCAGTGGCGGATCCACCTGTTCGGCGAACCGGCGACCGCCACCCCCTTGCGAATTTTTTTTTCTATTTTTTCTCAACAGAAATAAGAAAAGAAGTAGTGGTAAGACATCAAAAATGGTTCCAAAACCATTATTTGACCATGACCGCCACCCCCTTGGGCAAATCGCCATCCCCTCACTGATTTTCTGGATCCGCCCCTGTTATACATTGCCCTTCTTCTCAAATCAAGCATTTCAAAATATTATATTGACTTGCTTTTTTCTTTTTGAATTAATACTATGTCATCAGGTAATGAACAATTAATTAATACAAGTGGTAGTATTAAACGACAGCGTTCAAGTAATTAAATTCATGAATAGTTTTTATAAAATAATTTGATATTTTAGTCGAAGATTTTGAATCCGTTAAAGAAGCCAAAACAGAAGAAAATATCAGAAGAAAATTTCAATACAAGACAAAATGAAACAAAAACTGATAATGAACTTCTTGAAAAAGGAGATATTGTATTTATGTGTAAGTCTTCTTTGTTAATATATAATACTGCTGAAAAATATAAGACCAATATTTTTTTCTATAATACCACATATTGAAATTGGACCTAAATACCAAACATGGGAGTTATTAGGTCTCAGATGACTGTGAGAAAATTAGTTTTTACGAGTACTATCCTAAACTGCATAAAAATTCTGAATAAAATCAATGGCAACTGCATTTCCTACAACCTTCCTATGAAAAATTTGATGTATCACAAAAAACAAAAAAAAATTGCGGCTTTTAGCAATTCTAGGAGAGATTTCATTTTTTTTTTAAATTTTTCGTGATGCTAATAACTTTTTAAGAGAATATCATAGGTAATGTGGCAACCGTTCATTTCATTCAGGACTGGGCCGGGTCCGGGTCTGAAGATTTTTATTGGTCAGCTCCGCATTGAAAACAACTTAGATTCATATTAGAAATTTTTTTGAAATTTCTTTAAATTCTTGTTCATCCTACTCCAAAAATATTGAATTTATTTTGAAAAAATAGAAAACAAACAATAAAGTTCTTCCTGACTATAATATGTAAATATAGTTACAATCATAAATCTATAAATCAGATCAAATATTATCTGGTTCTTCACTATTGTCTATACTTTAAATAATATTCGAACAATAATCATGATCATCACTTGTTTTATACGCATTGTTTCTTCCATCAGAAGCTATTGACGTGAGATGAGAACCAATTGTAATTTTATTCCTACGGCTGTGGTATCTGGTTGTTTAAACAAAATGTAGGCAATGCTATCTATGGAACAAGAAAAAATAAATCAAACGTATAACATATCCTCGAGCGACAATCAGATTTATATTAGAAAATTGAACAGTTTTACGAGTTCGGTTCAAATCCGAACCCATAAAAAATTGACCCCTGAGCTTTGAGTTCAAAAATTTTTTGGACCCAATTACCTCTATTCTTGGGACTTGAAAACATTCGTGTTTAGCTTTTAAGAAATGATCTTCTCATAATCCATCTATGAAATTTCAATATGAAATACATGTCATAAAAAACTTCATTAGCTATTGAAACCACTATTTGGATTTGAATTATATTTTAGTATCGTACAAAAAAAACAAAGTATACGTTGTTCTTATATTTTTGACCAGTACTGTAAATGAAAAGTTTTTTTTAACGAAAATTAAATAAATAGACAAACCAAAATTGAATACTGATGAAGCTTTATCTTTTGATGATGTTGAATTATTTTATATTTTATTGATATCAGAAAAAGAAGAAAAAAATCAAAATGATTTATCACCTAAAATACGTCCAATTAAAATTGGAAAATAGAAATTACCAACTATTGGAAAAGAACGTTTTGGGGCTTTTGTTGAAAAAGCTGATAATAATATAGAAAAAGTTGAAGCTCAAACCTATGAAACAGCTACAGTTGATAGACGTACAACTAAAGCTGATCGTATTGCTGCCAAAGGTAAATATATTATGGCTAAACATGATCAACATCGTACAGTTATTGGTTATGTACTTGAATCACCATCAGAAATTGGTGATGTACAAAATGTATTTAATATCACAAAAGAAGCTTCATTTTCTGTAGCTGTCAAAAATCCTAAAGAGAAAAGTCCAACTACTTCAATTTGCAATTTTCTTAGCTGAACTAGCAATGCTTGATGGTTTCATGGTTGCGAAATGATACCCATGTCGCAAAAATCGGATTCTTTTTAGCGGTAAACCGCCGTTTACCAGCTAGGGGCCAGTAAATCGAATAAAACCGTCGGTTTTCACTGCATGAATATGGATTGGTTCTTCAACTGATAACCTTGAAGAATTATTAGGTGAACTTGGTCTAGAAATAGAAGACGAAGCTGATTCTAATCTAACAGCAACTGAACCCATGAAAGATGTTCAATTAGATGAAAAGACGACTTCCAATGCAACCACCTATTGATGGACAATGGAAAAAAACAAGAAGGTGCATCTGAGAAAAAAGATCATGAAGAAGAAACTAAAACAGAAAATGAAAAGAAAAATAAAGAAAATAAAAAAACAGAAAAATAAATTATCTATTAATCTTTTTCTATAGTTCAAACAAACTTGCTATTTATGTTGTGTGTATGTGTGCATATAGATCAAATATTCATTTTATTTCTTTACTTTATTTATCAACTTATATTTTTGTTGTTTTGATCAAATATAAACGTATAATAAATTTTATATTGAAATTTTTGATAATAGCAATTGTTGATTCTTGTTAAAAGATTATAATTGATGTCCTCGATACATTAAACTATGTATTTGTTTACATTACTTAATGTGTATCTGAAAATGATTTGCTTAAGTTACTTGTACCTGAAAGAAGACAAAAAATATTTTAGGTGTTTTTGATTTCGTTCATAACTCCTATCAGATTTCAAGAGAAAAAAAAGTCTAAATTTATTTTGAGGCACAATCAAAAATCAAGAATGAGTCTCATAGAGATCTTGACATCATTGAATGGCAGGTGAGAACAACTGAAATGTAGCTTACATTCAGTTTTGTTTTCTGATGGCTAGTTATCGCTACAGTATTCGAATACTGTTCATTTTTGAATTTGATTTATTTTTTGATTTCTCAACAATACAAATGCTAACAGTAAAAGCATTTGCAAGACTCAAGATGATCGACATAACAGCCTGAATGTATTATACGAACAAGTTATCACTGATTCATTTAATAAGTATTCTTATATTGTATCATAAATAATTCTTTCTCTAAAAAAATAAAAAAGTATGGAATAGCGAATATGACACGTCATTTCAAAGCTTCGGATGGATGATGAGACAATACGATGTGGATGTGTAAGTGTGCATGTGAATGAGAATCTTTTGTGCACTCTTATCCACAGCTTCACTGACACATTTACTCACCTCGCTTCTCCTTTAAGATACTTTAAGATTAATATGCCATGCGACAAAGTGTCCTAGCAATCTTCAGTTGTTTTCCTTCGTTATGATGGTCAAGTTATATTTAACGTATTTTGATAATAGCTTTCACATTGGCGTTTTTTATATTTCTTCGGCTACTCATTAAACAACTAATTAGTAAAGATCTATTATTGAACTGGTCACATGAATTAGTAAATCAAGATGATTAACACAATCTGAAGGGGCGTCGCTTATAATTCAATAAAAGATACTTATTTTGTTGTATGAGAAACTATTCCAACTTTTACAAAAAAAAAACAAGAATTTGCAACAAAAATGTCTTTGAAATTTGCATAGAAAAGAATGATTCATTTCCAATAGTACAATTACTTGAAACGTATAGAGTTCAAAATAGAATTCGATTCAAATAGTAAAGGATTTGAAAGTCTGAAATTTGTTGTTCGTTAGAATACAATTAAAATTTATTTATTTGGATTATGTGAAGCGAATAACTGAATAAGTTTCATTTTGAAACAAGATAGAGAGACTTTTCGTAGGAATGAACATATTGAAGTACTGGAAAACCAAGATTCTACAAAGAATCAATCTATTTTTTATTAAAAATATGATTACATATCTATGTAAATAATCATTGTTTGAATTTCAGAAAATAATATTGATTTTTAAGAAGACATTATGCTAGAATGTCATTTAATAGAAAGAGATACACTTGAGTTAAACAATTGGTTCGACTTTCATTCTATAAGGAAATAATAAACAAAAGCTACGTTAATAATCGATCACCTTACTGTGATGTGATCTTTGTCTTGAGAACATATATGAATGATGTCATTATGATCAATGTTACAGTTCCAACAATAGTTATTGTGATCCCCCAAGATGGAATTACTCCATCTACCTGAAAATCAGTGATAGCATTTACAATTGAGATAAATCATTAGTTTTTTTAAAATCTTACTTGTTCTGTTGTTAAGGCTTTATTTCCTGATACTGTAGAAGACGTGCTAGAAACTACTGTACTGAATGTAGTTGTTGTTGATAGGGCAATGATAGAGCAATTAGCAGGAACTAAAAATAGTCGAAATCAATAAAACAAATTCCTTTTTTTTGTAAAATACTTACTACATAAGCTATTGCTGGATAGAAGATTAAATCGTTTAACTTGACCACGTACTTGATCAAGTACATATAAATTTTGACCCATTAAATCCAATGCACTAGACATCGGATACATAAATTGATTACTAACAACTGTAATACCACATGTTGCATTGGGCGCCCAAATTTGAATACGTCCATTTCCACTATCAGTTACAATTAGATTACCAGTTGATGCTATATAAATGACATGCATAGGTGAATTTAATTGATTAGCTGCAGAACCACGGCCATTTCCACCAGCAACAGTAATACCAACGCTTGCACCGCTTGTCCACCTAAAAACACATGAAATTAAATGCTCTATGTAAACTATTTATTACGCTAGACATTTGGACTCGATCATTGAAAGAATCAGCAACATAGATTGTTTCGGTTGGTGTTACAAAGAGACCTGCTGGATAATATAATTGATTTAGTTGTGATCCAAATCCATGTCCTCCAGCTAGAATTGATCCATTTGGCATACGAAGAACATTATGATTGTACATATCTGATAAATAAATTATTCCTGTTGTCGGTTCGACAAACATATTTCGACAACTTAATGGTAAATTTGACATAATAGTTGTACCAATTGTTGAACCAGACAATAGATTATATTGTTGTATGCGTTGATTTCCTGTATCTAAGACAATTAAATTGTTAGTTGAATCGACGTAGACATCTCGAGCACCATCTAATTGTGAAGCATTTGAACCATAACCTTGTCCACCAGCTACAGTAATTCCTTGAACAGCACCTGATAACCACAATTGAATTCGATCATTTCCAACATCACCAACATAGACTGAATCACTCAAACCGACATATAATTCATAAGGCAAACTCAATTGTTGAGGTTGAGAACCGGCACTACTCGATCCAGCAACAATAACAGCTGATGAAGAAAACGATGGAATAGAACAAAGTACTGTTGCATCTACATTAAAAACAAAAACAAATTATGATTTAATAATGCAACTTTCGACGTATATTAATTATTTTTACTTGATACAATTTGCATCCAACTATGTTGTGTTTGAAACAACAGTACCAGTAAAATATGCAGTTGAGACATATTTCTTATGACTACGTTTTGAATTCTTTATTTCGAAAATATTTTCATTGTAAGTAGACCATTTTTTTAAAACAATGATAAACATGAAAAAACACTTAATCGGTACAGTCGACCTGAATATTTTATTTATTCATGATTCGATTCTGTTTTTTTCACATTCACTAAACTGTTTTTTTAATTCTTTTTTCTGTTCAATAGTGACACGGAAACTTCCATTAGCTGATGTTGTTATTGTTTTTGTTTTCATGCTTAATTCACACTCTTGTAATAACAGAAGACTCGTGACAAAATCAAAGTATGATAAACGATCATTGTCATGATCGATATCTATTGTATGAATTGCTGCACGAATAATTTCTTCGTTAAAATGAGATGTCAGGTGTGGTAATACATATTTAATATCTTCAAAAGTTATATAAAAATCTTTATTATAGTCAAGTTCATTGAATATAATGAAAAAATTATTAGGATCTTGTTTAATAGGAGGTAAGTGGCATAGAATAAGAATAAAACTTTCAAAGTTACATGAAGCAAGAGGATCAATCTAAGAAAAAGAAAAAATATCATTATAATCATTTCTATTGAAAATAACAGTATTGTTGTGTTTAGACCTGTAGTAATTTCATCGTTTCAATTAATGTTAATTCAGTAATTTGTTCTTTAAAATCATGTAAAATTTGAAAGATACCTTCGAAATATATTTGTCGTTTATCATTAGCATATGCATTAAAATGAAGTTCAAGTACATTCAATATATTATTAAGACTTTTATCTGAGCGTGTTGGTGTAAGACTTGTTAATATTTCTGCATCTTGCTGTGCATATGCAAGCAACATTTGTGTCAATGAACATTGATGTTCATTCTTTGTTGTACTACGATGATCATCAATTAGTGTAATATGACTGAATGTGCTGCTCGAATTTAATGTTGTTCGTGTTTGATCATTGTCATCATCATCGTCTAAAGTATGATCATTCTTGGATTGTATTGATTGATGATCAACAGATAGAAGTGATGGATTCTTGTTTTTATAAGCGTAGTATCCAGTTTTCGAATGTTTTGTAGTCAATTCATGCCGAGAATTTTTCAATGATAATTGTGATGGATTTTTTCTTTGAATGTTATCAATCGAACTGATTGTGTTTAACATGAAAATTGAAAAATGAACTAAAGCAATTGTTTAGAAGATATCAATGAAATTTTCAATTACACAAAAAAGTTCTTGCTGACATTTAGAATAATAGAACTACGAAATGAAAAGTTTTTCAAGAGATAAAAGCGCTTTTTTTTTGTCTTTCATTTCTTGCCGCCGCTTTATTCTTTCTATTGAAAAGTTAAAGAATTTACTTCGAATCATAATGTTTTCATTTGAAGAAGGTTAAATTAAATATAAATAAGAACTATAAATTATTTTTCCAATGAGTATGCATGGGCTGTGGTTGTTATTCACATGCGTCAACTGAAAAAGATATTTTACGTGTAGCAGTTTTTGGTCTTGAAAATTCTGGTAAAACATCACTTGTACAATGTTTAAAAACATCAAATAAAATATCTAAAACATTTAAATATGTATCAACACATGGTGTTATCGCTGTAAATATTCATTTAAATGTGCAAACAAATATTAATTTACTTATATTTGATTGTGGTGGTTGTAAACATCAACAACATATTTGGCCTCATTTATTCAATAATTCTGATCTTATTTTATTTACTGTAGATAGTATTGATTTAAATTGTTTAAATGATGCAAAACAAGCACTTTTTGATTTACTTACTGATGAAAATTTAATAAATAAACCATTACTTATTGTTTTTACGAAATCAGATAAAAGAAAAAATAGAAATATTAATCAACTTGAACAAGCATTAGATCTTTTTATGATACAAGTAAATAAAAATTAGAAGAAAAAAAAATCAAAGAAATAATCAAAATTTATTTCTAATTTTTTAACTTAGGATAGACCTATTCACAAAGTTTTATTTTCATCAATAACATTAGATGGTTTTACTTCAATATCAACATGGTTCGCCTATTTTAGTCATTGTAAACTTCATGGAAAAGAAATGAAATTATCAATTAATCCACGTTCATCTTCAATAAAATATCAATTACTGAAATCATTGAATCTTACTACATCATCAACCATGTCTTCGACTATATTAAATATATCTAACAATAAAAAATCAAACTTATCAACAACTAATAATCATACTGAAACATGGACCTCATCATCATCATCATCATCATCATCATCATCATTAGAACAAAAGAATAACAAGCCAATTAAGATAATACTTAAAAAATAGATAAAAGATTAGTCTGATAAAAATAATATGAATTGAAATCATGAATAGACAGCTATCTGGATTGTTTTTTCTTTATTAAATTCATAAAAGTAAGTACATAAATATATATTTCAATGTCCAATCTAAGATCCAACTTTAGACAAGTCCAAATTTTGATCAAACGAAAATATGAGATCAAAACTTATGCTTAATCTTGAAATCGATGTTGAATTCAGAAGTTTTTATTCATAAGCTGCAATAAATTGAAGGTATTTACTTTTATAATACTCATGCACAAAAGAAGCATCATGAATGCGTGTTGGTTCATCAAAAACAAAAAAGAATTCGGAATCCAACATCGATTTCAGGACCTAAATTGAGCTTTGATTGGAGATTTTCACTCGATCTAAGTTTGGACTAATTAAAATACGAATCTTAGATTCAATGCTGACAAATGCATACAAAATTATAGTTCATGGAATGCTATTGTCCAGAAATAGGAAAAGAAAATGGTTGTTCAGAATGTTTCCATTTTTTCCCATCAAACTCAGCTATACAAACAGCTAATGGTGGATATCCTGCTACAGTACGATAAAAAGTGTCCTGATTTGTTCGTATGCCTTTAATGGCATCTGTTAAAGCTAATAAACCTGGTGCATGTGTAACAATAAGTACAGTACCACCATAATTACCATATCGATTAATAATACCACGCATAACATTATAACATCGTTGAAAATATTCTTCTAATGATTCAGGTACATTTACCTTTTGAATTAATGGTTTATATTCAACTTTGATATTATATCCATTATCTAGTAATTCTTTTTTTGTCATAAAACTCTCCACTATTTTATAATTGAGATGAGGACATTCAAATAAACCCGGTTCTATACGAATTGGAATGTGTTCACGACGATTCATACCTATATGAAAAAATTAGAATATCAAAAGAAAAAAAGAAAACGTTATTGATATTCTGACTTACCAGATAAAATTCGTTCACATGTTTGAATACAACGAAGAGCAATTGATGAAAGACATACATCAACTGCTATATTACTAGTCAACATAGCTCGTCCAGTTTGACGAGCATTCTTTAAACCGCGAACTAAAATGCATCATATTTTTTTCATGAAATATGTACAAAAAGAAAGTCGATCTGTAAACCTGTTAGTGGTGCATCAAATTCATATGCTTGATCAAAACGTCTTTGGGGTAAAATGACTGGCAAATTTTGATCATATGCTTTGTAAGTACCTGTTCGAAATGCTTTAATGAACCAATCAGATCCCAATGCTTGATTAGCCCGTTCACTATGACGCATAAAGATAAGTCGTAGGTGTCGTCCTGAATTTGTACTATTAAATACTCTATCATGTCGTGATATTGTCGGTGAGTGAGTACCATGTGCATCATGATTTTTATTAGGAGAGGGTGAATGATGTAAATGTCGACTAAAATGAACATGACGATGACTTGCATCATTTTCATGATTCGGCTCGTCGTCTCTATCGTCATAATTTTGCGCCATATTAAGAGATGGAGTAATTGTAAGATAATTTTGTTGCGATAAATTTACTCGAGATCCAACAGCTGATGATTGCTGTGATGGTGGTAATCTAGGTCGTCTCGGAGGTAATCTTGGTGAAACTAAATGTTCATAGCCGTTACTATTTCTATGATAATGTTTTGGCATAGATCTAGATGTGCCTATTGCTCCATCTGTATCATATCCTGAATTCGAATTTTGACGATGGGCTAATGAATGCGAAGCAGGCATTACACGCAAAAATGATGGATGACTATAATCAGTTGTTGTAATCATTGCAGTAGATTGTATTGATTGTTGATGTGCATGTTGATGCTGACTATTGTTACTGTTATTATTATTTTTATGATCAGATATTTTTCTTGAAAGTACATGTGGTTGTAATAAACGACTGCTACTAGTATTTTTATTATTATTAGCGTTAGTACCATCACTATTTATTAAACTCAATTCACGATGCATCATATCAGTTAAATTGTCTACCATTATTTTTTTATTTATCACACCTTACCAATATTACCTTGTACAAAATTGAGAATGAAAGGCTTTTTTTCTTTTACTCTTCTATTTACCTTCATCTTGCACTTTACATGTGCACGCGTTACACATCATTGCTTTATATAATCATCGTCATTAAATCATGCAAATATGCAATAATAGTGTAAGATATAAACTGAATGAACAAAGAATTTCGTTTATAACAAGTTATAATTATCGATCATACGATATTGCGAAAGAAATCAAATAATCTATTCATTGATTGTAAACTATTTATTGATTTTTTTTTCAGTTACATACTAAGAGTATTTGCTTAAGATGATTCATTGATATATTGAAAAACAAGATGTCTACATATATGTCAATATCACTTAACCATTACTCATATATTGAGTCATTACACATTTTTCACCTATGTCATTCAGAAGTATATTATTGCTGGTTATTTTTATTCTATATGAGGTTTATTTATTTATAGCAGTTTTTCTATGACGACAATACTTATTGTTTGTTATGAAGAGGAATGTAATCGTCTATAATGAAAAACATTTGGAGAAAATTGCACTTACGAAAAATTCTTAATATTATCATTTTCTAATGAATCTTCAGAAATCTTTAAGAATAATGGATCATCCTACTAAAATCGAGAATGCAGAAATTTTCTATTCAATATTTAAGAATGTGATGCATATATTTTGGCATGAAAACCAAATTTTCAAAATAGAAAAAGAAAAGACAAATGATTAAATCATCTAAGTGTAATAAAAGAAAACACTTTATCAAATTGAATACAATGACTGATTTGTTTTAAATAGATCTCCTTGAATGAATGATTTAGTTATATCATTATCTAACAGCCAACACTAAGATAACATCAACAGAAGATAACACTTCCTATTTTTTGTATCAACTGATTATCCACTCTAGAAAATCAAGAATAATCATTGTAGAAATGAGAGAATAATCATATAACCGAACGAGTTCTAATATATAGTTAGTATTTTTTTTGACATTGTATAATTCAATGATTGTTAGAATAGTGTATGAAAAAAAAGGTCATCTCATATTGATGTTCTCTTTTTTATGACAATGTGTCATTAAAAATATCATATGGAGAGTGTTAATAGTTATAATAGTAATGAACCTTCTTGTTCTCTTTATTACACTTACTTGTAAATAATCTGATGAATTATTTTACTATCACCATTTTCTATAAAGATGATAAATACGCAAAGTAAAACAGTAAATATAATAACTTTGCCATTATTACTTAGAATATCTTTTTATTCAACGTTGTTATTGAAAACACTAAAAAAAACACAATGTTGACACAAGACTATTAGCTCATAGATAAATATGAACTAAATAGAAAATATGTTACTTTGCTTGTTTCTTCGTTTGTATTTATCTATTTTTCTATTGACAAAGATAAATGTGCTATATGTATGTAGTTATCTCATCTCATTTCCTCTTTGTTCTAATTGATTGTTATCTAATGATAAATCATGATCGATTTTCTTTGGTTGTAAAAAATAGATAGAGAAACAGAAACGATTTCATCATTGTTCGATTATGTAGAATGATGATATACAATGATTATATCTTCAATATTATTCATTTCTTTATTTTATTTATTAAAATCGAAGCAACAATCAAAAGTTATAGATTCGAACAGCAAATTGGATCAACAGTCGTGTTACCACCATGTTTTCCAACAGTATCATCATCAATTGATGATGTTACAGTAAGGAGATCTTTGCTGTTTTTTTTTATTTAATATATTCTTTGAAATACTTGTTTTATTTCTAAATAGACAATTTTATTTAAATCCGATTCAGGTGAATTATTAGGTATGAATGGAATATTAATTTCCAACAATCCACGTTTAATGATAAAAAATCTTCATCCTTTCGAGTTAACAATTGAATCAATTGAACTATCAGATGAAGGTCAATATGAATGTCGAACTGATCAAATAATTAATTATATTGTTCATTTAATTGTTATTAATTGTATGTTTTAATGTAACTCTATTTTTTTTCAAAAAAAAATTTTATTTTTTTTTATTACTAGCATCAACTATTCATTTAAATGTACTCGAAGGTTCTAATATTACGTTACAATGTAATGAAAAAGGCATGTGGATTATCGAAGAAAGTCATCAAGGAGGACCTGTTCGTGAGTTAAATTTTTTTTTTTCATTCTAATTTCTTATTTTTATTATCATATAATTGATTTACAGGTAAACAATATACAACAGAATTAGTATTGAATAATTTACAACGAAATGATAATCGTTTTCAAAAAATTATTTGTTCAACACTTGATGGACATGAAAAACGAGAATATATTATTGATGTTATGTGTATATATTTTGATTAAAAATAGTTGATAAACTAATAGAACATTATTTTTTGTTTTTGAACTAGATAAACCAACTGTCAAATTGATGATGTCCGTAAGACAGAAATTAATGTGTATAATATGTGCTCATCCATTGCCACTTCGTACACAGTGGTGGTGGAATACTCGAAAAGGACATGATGATAGTATTCATCAAACAAACATCAATCAAACATGCATTGCTCAACAATCTATTTTTGTACTGGTATTAAGAAATCCATCATATAAATATTGTTAGAAAAGAATAAAATTAACATTAATTTTTTACTTCTTCTAGGAAAAAGAATATGATATTGAACAGATAATTATGTGTGAAGCAGAAAATATGCATGGAATAGGTCGAGATAGTTTACAATTAAAAACACGTAAGATGACATAATACAGAACGACATACTTGTCAAGTTTCTTTTTCTTTATTTTTAATAGGACCAACAACAAAAAGTCTGAGATATATAATAGAGAAATCGCTAGAAATTTCTTCAAGTAAATTAATGACAACAACAATATCTATTAAAAATGTATCACCATATTGTTATCAAAATTTGCAATTGATAATTAATATTCTAACATTTATTTATTTCATAGATCATATTACATTTTATTATTGATATGAACAGTCTTATAACAATATAACACTATTTTACGTTTCACTGTATTTTCATTACTACATAGAAAGCATAAAAATTGAATAAATGATTTATTTGTAAAATAAAAATTAAGAAATTCAAGACAACACTATTAATTGCTGAAAACAACAGGAAGCAGATTTGTGCATAGTAGTATATGAATAGCTCATCAACTTACGAATTTGTAAATTGAAAACTATTTTTTATTACAAAAGAATACAGATATGTGAGTCCAGTTCATTGATCTTCGATGTCACTGACACCTGTGTTCGTCTGAAGCAGTGCTACACAACGCTGCAAAAAGAGAATATTCTGATACAATTGGTATCAATCAATCCTGTATTGTTGACTCATTATTCAGTATTTACAATAATAGTGCACATCCTTTTAGCAGAAGCTTACGCTTACTGTACAAGACCAATGAGTCTAGCGACATCTATTATTGAAATTTGATTTCTATTTTTGTTTTTACAAGAACTTAGATCAGTGAGGTTATTAAATATTTTGATTTAAAATCAATCATAAATAAATCGGCAAGACAGAAATAAATAAATCATAAGTATATGATTTTTTGTTTTAATTAAGAATTGAGCTCTTTGTTCGATGAACCAATTGTAATATATATGCCAAATTGATTGTTTAATTCGATCAATCAATCAATCAGAAATCTTATTTATCGATCGATCGTGAAGAATATTTTTACAATTGAATTTTATTTTATTTCAAATAATGTCTCCAATATCAATTCGTCAACCTGGTGATGTTGTCAATGAAATTTATTCACAAAATATTAAATCTATTATTCAAATGTGTCTTGATGCTGGTGATGATCCAAGCTTACTTATTGACGAAGTGAAATATGAACTTCAAGTAGAAATAAAGAATTTTTCAAAAACAAAAACAAAAAGAAATTATTTCTTATTTAGAAAATGGTTGCTGAAATGATGGCTGAAGATGATGCATTACTTGAACGTAAACGTGCTGAACTTGCACCAATTCGTACTCGTTATGAATCACTTTATCATGAATTATATCCAGATAAAACTTGTCCACAATATGGTAATACTTTACCTGTTCTTCTAGCATTACGTACTTATGTTGATGAACATAACAAATTAAAACATGAACATGAAAAATTACTTGAACGTGAAATAGATATTCGACGTGAAGAAAAACAATTATGTAATGAATTAAATGAACATTCATTACAAATAGATAATCAAAATTTTATGTCAAAACAATTAATTACACAAATGAGTCTCTTATCAGAACATATTACTGAATTACGTGAAGAAAAAGTAATTTTTTCTTTTTTTTTTTGTTTTGATTTACAGATATTAAAAATATCTTTTTTTCTTCTCAAGACAAAACGTATTGCTCATTTAACAGAAATAATTCGAACATTACATGAATTTGAAGAAGTTTATGGATGGAAACGACCAACAATTGAAACAATGATTAGTCGATTATTAACACTTGGACTAACTAAAATTGATCAATTTACTTTAACAAAAGAAGCTTTAGAACTTGTTGATAAAGAATTTGCTCAAGTAATACTGTTTAGTTTTTCTCTTTTATTTCTTTAATAGAAAATAAAAATAAAATCTTGTGTTACTTTTTGTTTTTTTTATAAAATAGATTACTGAACAAGTACAAAAAGCAGAAGCTTGTTTTGAACAATCACATAAACAATTAACAACACTTATGCGAAAACATCAATCATTAATTCCCAATGAAAAAGCTTTAGCAGTAACTAAACATAAACAATGTCGATTATCAAAATTACCTGACGTATGTTTCTTCTTTTTTTTCTATTCAATCACATTTCAATACTAAGAAAATCTCCGTTTTTAGCTTATTGCAGAAGTTGATCGATACACAGAACATGCAATTGACAAATTAACAAATGATATATTAAAAGCGCGTGAACGTATTCATGTTATACTCAATAAACTTTCATTTACTGATGTTACTAATGATTCAAGATATGCTATTTTATATACCAGTAAATATGCATATATTTAATTTGATATTTTTGAAAGATAAAATGTTTGATTTTGTAGATGATTTTACGGAAGATATTTATTTTATGCATGAAGAACTTTTACAAGAACTTGAAGCTCAATATGAAGTTAATAAATCAATGTATGAACAAATTGAAATATGGAATGAATTTTTCCTTGAATTTCAAGAATTTGAAGTATATTCTTCGATATTCATTTCATTTGATTGTTTATAAAAAAAATGTCTTTATTAGAAAAATGCTAGTGATCCGCAACGTTTTCATCGTCGTGGTTATAGTGCATTAGCAGAAGAAAAAAATCGTAAAAAATTAGACGCAAATTTACGTGAATGTGAATTACGACTTCAAAATCTTGCCTATGATTTTATGAAGAAGAATAATGGACAACCATTTATAATGAGTGCAAATGGAAAAGAAATAGCTGATTATATTCAACAACGAAAAGATGATTATACTAAAGCTAAAGAACGTGAACGAGAAGCCGCTAAGGTAAAATAAGATACAATTCTATTTCAAAAAGCAATGCCATCAAGAACAAACAAACATTTTTCGTAATAGACTCCAGCTTCCAAGAAAAAAGCTCGTACGGATACAATCATACGCGTTCGTCCAGCTCCTCTACAGTCAGTACCTGGTTATGATGAAAATAATAACAACAGTGAAGATAATCAATGTGCTACAACACTTTGCGTACCAAATTCAAAAAGAAAAAATTTCTATTCTAAATATTAATATTTTTTTCCTATGTTATTTATTTTTCAATTTATAAATTAAAATTTTTTCTTTATTTAAAAAAAAATACGTTTACATAATAATAACTAAACATGTTAAACTAAATTTTGTTTCAATTGCATGTGAAAACGACCATAACTTATGATAGAATGGCTTTACATGATCATTGTTAATTCTAGGCAGCAGGGCATAAAACATCAACAAGTTCAATTGTTAGACGAACACCCTTAAAAACAAAGCAATTACCTGATAATAGATCTAGTGCTGCATCTAAACGGGTAAGATGTTCATCAAATATTTTATTTTTTCTTAAATAAAATATTATCTTTTCTAGTCTGATTCATGTTCAACAATACGCACACCTTTAAAAACTGTTCGTCGTGTTGCCATTCCACAATTACCAACTGGTAAAACTCCATTACATAATTCCACAATGAAATTACGAACACAAAAATTATTACAAACAACTAAACGTACAAATATGGATCAAACATCATCAACAATTGTAACATCAGTTAAACAACGTTGTATTATTAATCAAATTGTTGATACAACTCAAAATATTTCATCACATAATTTAATAATAGCAAATACATCTACAGGTTTTAAAGCTTCAACGATGGTAACATTCTTTGTTCTTCAGTTATGAACTTTTTTTTTTTTCGTTTTATTTATTTTTTAGACAACACCAGGAAAACATTCAGTAATGAAACGGGGTATTCCGACTCCAATTCGTACTCATAAACAAAAATGAAACTTATGTAAATAAAAATACTAATTATTGTCATATGTTTGCTTTCTTTTGTATTTTTATTTAATGTACAAATAACAAAAATAGAAAAGAGAAAAATAAATACATTGATGATTATATATATATATATCTGACTAAACAAGAATAGATTTTGATAAATTTTTCTCTTCGTTATCATTTAATATGGGTATTTCTATATAATTTGGATTGCTAAATGCTGGTGGAGATTTTTCTGTTTGTTTAATAATTGTTATTGTTTTACGCTGTCGTCTCCGTAGTTTAACTCTTTCAACACGTTCATTTTCACGAGCAATAAATTGATCTATTTCATCTGTTGGTTCAATTGATGAAAGTACAGTTGCGACCGGTAATGTTGTACTAACTAATTGAGCTCGTTCAGGTTTTATTGATTTCTAGAAAACAAAAAATTTTTAAAAAACTAAAATAAAATAAAATATTGTTTTCTTTTAAAATTTCGATACCATTGAAAATCGACTGGCCTTTGGTGGAATAATAATAGGTTCATCTCGTAATGTAACACATCGTTTTCTTGGTTTAGCATATAATGGATTTAGATTTTCTTCATTTTGTTCTTCACCAGTTATTTCATTGATTCGTTGATTAACATAATTATGATGATTACTTGATGGAGAAGTTGTTAAACAATTAGCTAAAAGCAAAAGAGGTATATGATTTGTATTTGTACATGAATAAGAACAAATTGGTTCAATATCAATCATTAATGGATGAGTAAATGATATATTGGATTCATCGATTATATCATAAATTGGATTCGAATAAGCATATGTATTTGACCACATATTAAAATGTAAAACAATTTAATCATTAATCTCAAAGAAGAAAAAAATAAGAAATTTTTAGTTTTTATTTTTACAATTCACTATTTTCGTTTATTTATTTTTTATTTGAAATAACAATTTCATAACAAAATTTTTTTAGAAGGAAAAGTCATATCAAATACATATATATATACAATTTGTTTTGAAGAAATACACGTAATAGCAAGAAAAAAAACCAAAGAAACGAAAGAGTTGTGTAGATTAAATACAAAAAGACATAACCATATATATCTGAAATTTACTATTAGTAAATGAAGATACATATATGTATCAATAATAATTTTACATAACAACTGTTTTTTTTTTACTAAATACCAAGTTTCCGACATGTTTGTATGGAATAACAGAAATAAATCAATATTCTAATTGCGAAAATTAATTTCATAATTGCAGGTATGATTTCTAGAATTATGAGAATTTTATAAATTGTGAATGATATGTATTTATATAAATACGAAAAAAAATAAATTCAAAGAATATTTTATTTCTATGGAGAAGTTTTTAAAGCTTGACCAGATATCGAAAGTGCATAGGCTATATCATCTTGATAATATTTTAATATATAAAAATATTTTTTTAAAGAATTCAAAGTAAATTTTCAAAGAGTTAGGTTATCGTCCTATATGAGATATAGCTTATCGCTCGACGTAGAGTGATTGTCTCTCAGGATGGCTGAAACCTCGTCAATAGAATATTCGACAATGGCAAAATTCTACGGGGTATGTTGACGAAAGTAGGATGGACTTTCGCAAGTCATCACAAAACAATATTAATATAGGAGACATGTGACGATTGAAGGTAATATTGTTAGAATATATATGTCATAGCTTATACCCATCAATGCAGCTGATAGAAATTTTTGTAATCTATATCTAATTCGCAGTTCAATTGCTGCAATTTCAGGGGATATATTGGACAAAGTCTTACTAACGAAATTCCGGAACCCCAAAGTTTAGCTAAAGAAGTATTGTATGTTATGTAGCGAATTTTAGAAATAGAGAAGTGTCACGTTCTCCTTCCCCTTCTGAATACAATTCTGAACAAATTTTTTTAATAGTTTTTGATTTAAGTATAACTTTCTCATAAAATTGTTTTTTGAGATTCGGTTTGAATCAACAGTACAGTTAGTATTTATACGATGTTCACAGAAAATTTCATTCCTAAATGTTGAGTCATAGTGGAATTGAACATATAATAATTTGAAGTAGTTATTTTTTGTTCGATGATCTTTTAAAGAGTTTACATGAAGTCTATCATAAAAAAAAAGTATTTCACTTCAGAGACATTTTACTTTTAAAAAGTTTTAGTTATCAAAGTATAGTTTGTGTTTTTCTTTTTTTATTTATATGGTTTCAGTCCTGTTGAACAATTATGAAAAAAAAACTAACTGAATTTTAAAATTAAAACTTTATCCAAAAACTTATGTTCAACAAAAATTAACTACTTCAAATTGTTATATGTTCAATTTCATTATGGCTCAATATTTACGGATGAAATTTTTGTGTGACTATAGTATAAATACTGACTGTGCTTTTGACGCAAACCCAATGTCATAAGTTAATCTTATAAGAAAGTTATATTTTAATTAAAACTCGTCAAAAAAATGCTGTTCAATATTGTAAGTTACACCGCTGGATCCAAAATCTATTGTTCATTTTTACAGTTTAATCTTTCCATTTTGACCTATATTTTCAAATTGATATTAGTTAATTCATTTTTGACATAAACAACAAGTTTGACTGACATTTCCGCACATAACAACTTGTGCGTAGAATTAATTTTCTTTGTTCTTCTTTTGTTCAGTAATTGGTTCTTTGGAACTTTGTAAATAGTAATGATTTCTAAGATTTTGATCAGTTTTTTTTGTATTCATGTTCATTGATTCAAAAATATGAAAACAAGAAAGATCTTTCTTTTATTCATACTAATGAATTTTATTCATGTGATCAAAAATAAAGCTCATGAGATAAATGAATTATAAACCAGTTCAAAATTTTTACATTTATGATTTGACAGGAAAATTTTATTAATATAATCTGCCAGAACCTATCTAGATTTTGTAAATATATAAACTCTACTAATGTATAGTGTGATCTCTAAGAGTCTATCAGATCTTGCTTTCTCTGTATGTGTATTTCCTCTTTGACCTTCACTTCGGAATTGCGTCCTATGTGTGTGCTTCCGCGTTCACCCTCATCTTCAAAAATCTAATTTTATTTATAATGTCGACACAGTACTATGACGCGCGGAAATGTCTTTGCATGAGAACATCTTTGCACACAAGTGTTGTAGACGGAAATGCCATGTCACGAAACAAAATTTATGTAGCGCATCATATCGAAGACCAAGTAACTATAAATTTTCATACTGCATGAAAATTTTTTATTTGTTCTTTTTTAAAATCAGTTTATCTAATAAATAATTGATTAAATATTTTTCCGTTCTAAAGAAAAAAAAATCTCTTTTAATATTTACATTTTATCTAATGTTATAGATTCATTTGTTGTCTTGTTTGGTAAACTCTACATAAGAAACGAAATAAAAAAAAAAGAACAAGTTAGACAAATTTAAAATAAATTTTTTTTCTTTTTACTTCAGAAGATTTATCCCAAAAACTAATATCATCACTTGCTTCAGCTAATCGTGCACGATCTAATAAATTATAAACATCCGATTGTGAATAATGGCATATTTGCAAAATTTTTCTAACACAATCAATTGAATATAAACTAATTTGACTTGATGTTAACGTCGAAGATATTAATTTAATTAATTGTGAACAAAGTAATGGATTTGATAAAGGATCAATAATAATTGGTTTAAAACCAAATTTATTTGCCTTAAAAAAAAAAAAACAATTCTCAAAAAAGTTTCAACAGAAAAGACAACTCGAATTTACAAAATTTTTTATTTTTTCTTCATTAAATCCACGAAGTATATTCGAAATAGTGAACCATGGTAACATTATATAAGAATTATATCTTGCAAAAATTATTTTATCATATTCATTAATCATTACAACTTTTATTAACGATGCAAATTTTGTTTGAAATAATTCAGTAGATACTGATGATTGACGATCATCATCTTGTTTCTTAACACAAGTTTCTGCTTCACGCATAACTCTTCAATAGAAAAAATTAATATTATCTTTTCAAAAAAAAAACTTTTCATAACGTTAAAAAAAACATACTCTCCAGCTTTCCAATAAATTGCAATCATTGAATGCATTGGTTGACCATTATCATCCAACATATAAATCTTTTTCGAACAAAAAAAAAAACATAATTTAATAATTTTCAATTTATTTATTCTTACCAAATTTTTTTCATTTGAAATATCATCAAATGGTTTAGCCATTTTACAATGTATTAAAAAATCATTAATACATACATAAGCTTCATCATGTACTGCAAATAAATTAACATAAAATGTATTATCACGTCCTTTATATAATGGTTCAACATCACATTGACAATTTTGAACAACATTTTGAAATGTTTTTGATACAACATCATTCCATTGATTATCATTATTATTATTATTATTGTTATTTAATGGAGCTATTGATGCTAAACGACATGTTAATAAATAAACTGGTCGTGAAGAATATTTTGTTAATATAAAACGTATACGTGAACGTGGTACATGTTCTTCCCAAGAATTTAAATCAACAAAAAAAACATTTACAGTATCATCGACTAAATCATATTCCATTATTTGAGAACGATTCCATGCTGATGCTGTTTCATCCCAAGTAACACAAATAAGATTTTTACGTAAATATTCAGATGATATATGAAGATCATCAATTGAATTATAATAATCACTAAATAATATTAAATTAAATTACAGAAGAAGAAAAAAATATAATCAATTAATAAAATTTTACTTCATGGTTTTAAAAAATGCATCACATGCAATTAAATCTTTTGTTAATTGAACTGTAAATGCATATGGTGAAGTTATTGAAACAATACAACATTGTTGAATAACATTCAATTCTAATAATGATGTTTCATATTTATATCCATTAGAAACTATATCAACCATTAGAACTTCATTTGTTAATGAATAAATTTCTTTATCAGATGTTTTTTTCTAAATAGAGATTATTTATACTATGAAGTAAAACATATGTCT